GCAAGTTGATTTGGAATTCACTATTTAAAGTTTCCAACTATCCCTTGATTTTGAATACCAGTTTTATTAAAAAAGAAAAAGAAAAGAGAAACTCACCTATTTTAGCACATGATTTAAGAACACAAAATAACCTATAATTTTGCAGCTTATGATACAGATTACCAAAAAAAAAAATCATCAACCAATTAAGAGAAAGAATCATCAAATAAGTAAGAATTATAAATCCAAAGAACCTAAAAAGTAGAAAAGAAAAATCTTAAACTTAAGAAATTATTAGATATTGTATATATCTAAGCCATTATCTTAGTGAAAATTCAAAGAGCTTCTTCCATGCTCCTCGTACTCACCACATAAAGTGTTGCCTCCCATACAAATTATCAAAACCAAAATCATCAAAATCTCCAAAAAAAAAAGAAAAAGAGATAGACAGCCTAAAAAAGGGAAGAAAGAAAGAAAAATAAGAAATATGTATATTCACCCTTGCAAGTTAAAGTTGTTCAATATTGAGAGTCCAGACTCATTTTCAATAAATGATGTCCTGTCCAAAGAAACCATTATTGCTTCCTTCATTCTTGAACACTCTTAATCTATCAATCAAACAATCATCTGAATTGTAACAAAAAGAATAGGATCCAATATGAAATCCTGATTAGGAGACATGTATAGCCATATGCCTTTTAGTTCTACCTAAATTTAGGCATTACTTACTGATTAATGCTATATTAAGAATGTAAAATAATCTGATTTCAAAGTCATGTTTATTTGTGCAATTAGGAAAAAACACACACTCACACACATGACTATTATATCTAATAAAAGAAAAAAAAAACACACAAACATAACAACAAAATAATGAGTTTTAGCTAGCTGACATGGCTTCAGGGCTAAAAAACTAGTCTTATCTTACATATATAAAGCGTCCAAAGCCTTATGAATAGTGCAGGATGAGCCGGTTATGCCGTGATTTGTGTGAGCTTGAGGGGCATTTTGGTCCTTTGCTGATGGGTGGCAGTGGCACTGCTGGTATTTTGCTTTTGTCCGCTGGCTCTCTTGCATTGTAACCTTGCTCTGTCCGCGTGGCTCTTCATTTTGGTAGTCAGGAATTACTATTAAGTTAGTGGGCGGTTGGGCGGTCAGCAAATGTCTTGAAAAGCTTTCTAGAGTCTTCATTCTTTCTAGAGTCGTTGGTCGTTGCTGTCCGAAGCGGTTTGTGGGTCTGCATGGCTCTTATTCTCTTTTGCTCATTCTCGGTCACCAATTTGCTCTCATTATTTTCTTGCTTGTGTTCTCAGCTGTTCAGCAAATATAACTTGAGAAAGTTTCTTTTGGTTTTGAAGTGCTTTACTATTCAGCAAACTTAGACCGTGAGCTCAATCTCTTTTTGGCTCTAATTTTTCTTCTGAGTTTTCTTTCGCAGCTTCGGAAATAACTTGAGAAAGTTTCTTTTGGTTTTAAAGTACTTCACTGTTTGATTGGCTTCGCTGGAAATTCATTTTTGTTGTTGTGGTTCTTTTGTATGGTTCATTTTAGACGTTTGTTTGGTTTCCGCTTGAGCTGTGTATAATATGCTTTGAGAATGGGTCGAAATAGAGTATATGGAAGTTTAGAAGAGGCTCGTGCTGAGAAAAATCGAAGGAGCCGCGAGCAACGTGCTGCTGCTCGGCGTGGGACAAAGAATGATGCGCCATTAGGAGTGTGTACATTAGCTGTCACGGCTTTTAATATACATGACTCAAATGCTGTGAATCAGCCAAATATGGGCGTCGTTGAATCTTCATTAGGTTCGGGCTCAGTATTGCCATTTGCAGAGAACAATGCAGAGCACCTTCGAGCTGTATGTCTGTGCTTATTTTGAGCATTTTTCATGCAATATAAATTGTTGTTTAAATCTTTTGGAATAAATGTTAAATTATTTATGTTAACAGTGGTTTCGCCTAAGCATGTACTTTGGTAAGACAAACGAGTTTGACTTAGTTAAGCATACTAAACTCACAGTCTTTAACTATGCTTTGGGTGTTTTAAAGGAAAATCAAGGAGATGTATCTAGGTCTGCTGGTAATGGTGCTAGCGAGGTTCCAACAACTAATTCAGATGCGGGTGAATCATCTTTGCATAGGCGACGTCGGCGTACAAGACGCTCTGTGACTAATCCATTGACCACAATAATTACAGAGCCTGCAGTATTGCTCAATAATGTAGAGCAATTTCCAACCGTATGTTTGTGCTTATTTTGAGCATCTTTCATGCAATAAGATTGTTGTTTAGACCCCTTGCAATAAATGTTAGACTACTTATATTACCGGCTAGACTAACCAGTGGGTGAGATATTAGTTTTTGTCTATTATAAGTCAGATTGACTGACTTAGGCACACTGAATTCATGGTCCTTAAGTACGCTTTGGCTGGTTTGCAGGAAAATGAACAAAATGTCTGTGCGTCTATTGCTGATGGTGCTAATGAGATTCCATCAACTAATTTAGATGCTGGTGAACCACCATTGCGTAGGCAGCGTCGGTCTAGAAAACGAGCTATGACTGATCCATTAACTACAATAGCTACAGAACCTGCTGTATTGCCTGATGTTCCAAGTTGTCCATATTGTCATGCAAAACGATTTTATCAGGAACCACCTGGTTTTTGCTGTGCCTCCGGTAGTAAATTAATTACTCCTCTCACACTCCAATTTTCTAGACTAATACCCATTATAGTAAATTAAGAAATCCCAGCTACCTGACGCACAGCGTCAGGGCAAAAAACTAGTACATATATAAAGCGTCAATCGCTTATGAACAGTGCAGAATGAGCCGGTTATGCCGTTATTTTTGTGACTTTGAGGGGTATTTTGGTCTTTTGCTGATGGGTGGCGTGGTTTTGTTGGAAATTCGCTCCTGTCCGCGTGGGCAAATGGTCTGGTTACTCTGTAATTTTCATGAACTCTGGGGGTGTTTGTTAGTTGCATGATTTTTGGGTGGCTTGAGGAAACGTGGGTGCAGATAGCCTCGTTGAATCGGTGGACGCTTTTTGCTTTACCTTCTGTCTCTCTTCCTTGCTCTCAATTTCAATCATTGCTCTCTTCTAATTACCACTTTCTCTCCTGCTCTTCTGTCCGCGTAGGCCTCTTGGATGGGAACATTTTGGCGGTCAGCAATTTACTCTTATTCTATTCTTAGTTCTGTTCAATCTGTTTTTGGCAACAGGATAAACTTTCTTTTAAAAAAATGCAATTTAAGAAATGGATTATAGTTTTTGAACTTTTACAATAGGTCCAATTTTTTTTCTTTTGAGCATGAAAAAATGATTCAATAAATACAAATTATCAAAACCAAAATCATCAAAATCTCCAAAAAAAAAAAAGATATAGACAGCCTAAAAAAGGGAAGAAAGAGAGAAAAATAAGAAAATATGTATATTCACCTTGCAAGTTAAACTTGTTCAATATTGAGAGTCCCATGCTCATTTTCAATGGATGATGTCCTGTTCAAAGAAACCATTGTTGCTCCCTCCATTCTTGAACACTTTTAATCTATCAATCAAACAATCATCTAAATTGCAACAAAAAGAATAGGATCCAATATGAAACCCTGATTAGGAGACATGGTAGTATATATAAACCGAGGTCATGGTGGGATAGAGTTGAATAAAAATTATGTGTCATGAATATAGACCTATTAATGTAAAACAAAAAAGCCACTGAATATATAAAAAATATTAATTCAATTTTACATTGGTTTGAAAATATTTTTAAATATGTTTGAATGCTCATTCAAGTCTAGAAAACAAAAGAAAATGACAAACCCATTTTATAATTGTCTTTCTTTATTTCTTTCTTCCAAAGGATTGTTAAGTGTGAAGTACTAGCAAATAGAAAGTGTCAAAAAAATGGAAATTGTCAAATTGCTTGTCTTAGAGAAGTAACGTAACTAATAAGCAAGGCTACACATTACATGTATAGCCATATGCCTTTTAGTTCTACCTAATTTTAGGCATTACTTACTGATTAATGCTATATTAAGAGTGTAAGATAACCTGATTTTAAAGTCATGTTTATTTGTGCAATTAGAAAAAAACATACACTCACACACATGATTACTGCATCTAACAAAGAAAAAAAAACACACAAACATAACAGCAAAATAATGAGTCTCAGCTACCTGACGCATGGCGTCAGGGCTAAAAAACTAGTACGTATATAAAGCGTGAATAGCTTGTGAACAGTGTTTGGTGGGCAGGTTATACTGTGATTTTTGTGAACTTGAGGGGTGTTTTGGTCTTTTGGCATTGGACGGCAATGGTCTGATGGAAATTCACTTCTGTCCGCGTGGGCCTCTTGGATGGGAACATTTTGGCGGTCAGCAATTTCCTCTCATTCTGTTCTTGGTTCTGTGCTGAATCCAGTGCGCACCGCTTCAGAGTTTTGGGAGCTGCTTCTTTTTCTTTTCTTCGCCTTCTTTACCAGGTGTGTTTTTCCCGTTCCTCATTCTTCTTCTTAGCTTTTCTCTGGCCAGTGTTTTTTCCTTCCCTTGTTTTCCTATTACCAGGTCCTACCTACCTGACGCATAGCGTCAGGGCAGAATACCTAGTACATAATAATGTGGCCAAGTCTTTGTCTGGAAGTTCGTACTATCCCCACAAGCCAAAAACGACACACACACACACACTCAGCTCCGTCTTTCAGCTGTAAATACATCCATCAAGACAACCTCTGTTTGAAACGTGCGGGAGTCGCAAACTATTGCCATTAAAGAAGCTGCAATGGGAACTTTGACAGCTACTTCCCTTTCATCAGCATCATCGCAAAATTAGCAGCTGATGCACCCAAAAATTAACAGTTTCAATGATGGGGGCTCTTTCAGTCTTTGTCTGGAAGTTCGTACTATCCCCACAAGCCAAAAACGACACACACACACTCAGCTCCGTCTTTCAGCTGTATATACATCCATCAAGACAACCTCTGTTTGAAACCTGGGGGAGTCACAAACTATTGCCATTAAAGAAGCTGCAATGGGAACTTTGACAGCTACTTCCCTTTCATCAGCATCATCGCACCTTAATTTGATCCCAAGAAGACCCTTTGGAACAAAGATTAAAAATCCAATCTTGCATAATCCGTTTAGCTATCAACACCCCACCAATTCACATCTCCCTTCATATCAGTTCAAGAGAGCAAAATTCGAGCTTTCCACAGCCATCTCTTCCACTGACACTGTGCCAGCGGCTGATCAATCATCCAAAGACGCTTCGTTTGGTCAAGAAACTGAGAAATCAGAAAAAGATGAGAAATTTGATTGGTACGCACAACGGTATCCTGTGATGCCTGTTTGTGATCTTGACAAAAGGAGGCCACTTGGGAAGAAAGTGATGGGAATTGATATTGTTGTGTGGTGGGATAGGAATGAGAATGAGTGGAAGGTGTTTGATGATACTTGTCCTCATAGGTTGGCTCCTTTGTCTGAAGGAAGGATTGATCAGTGGGGCAGGTTGCAGTGTGTTTATCATGGTTGGTGCTTTGGTGGTTCTGGCGATTGCAAATTCATTCCTCAAGCACCCCCAGATGGTCCTCCGGTAATTGAAATTGCTAACAAGTTCATTTTCATGATTGTGAAGTATGCGAAGTATGCGTCTTTCGTATCCGCTAGTTCTCCTTTTCGATGCATTGATTTTCAGTCAGTGTCATTGTTACTGTTTGCTACATCCATATTTGTTTAATCACTGTGCAAGTCACATGCTTTCTTTTTGCCTTATCATCTGTTATATCTAAATTTTGAGTAACTTTCTTGAGAGCAAATTATCCGTATAGCCAATGAACTTTTGGAAACGTCGAATTTTAAATCACTGAACTATTGAAAGTCTGATTTTAGCCATTGAACTATCTAAAATTTAGATTCTGGGCCATTTCATCAGATTTAATCGTTAACTATGTCCTTTTCTTTTGTCTCGTGAATCATTAGACCACTCATATCTGTCATGTTTAATGATGAAATCTAACGGAATGACCTACAATCTAAACTTGAGATAGTTCAATGGCCAAAACCAAACTTTTAATAGTTCAATGATGTAAACTCGATGATTCCAAAAGTTTGGTGGCCATCCAGATAATTTGCTCTTTCTTGAAGAATGTAGTAGCTGAAAGATTAAAGCTATTATAGCACATAAATGGCAATAGTGAAGGTAGGACCGTTATCAATAGCAGACTAGCTGTGGAAAGCCAATTTTTTGAGGTATATAATCAAGTTTGGAAGAAAGCTCCAAAGTTTTATATGCCTATTTGAATAGCACAAGATTGTCTTTGAATTTGAACATAGGCAGATATTCATCACCAGCACTGAAGCAGGCAAAACACTCTAGATATGATGGAAACTTCTCAAGTATAATGCACACTTTACCTAGCCATTGCATGAAGTTATTTATGTCTTATTCGGATACAACGATAACTTGTTGGTGGCATTTAAGGCCAGGATCATTGAATGGGGATATTCAATGTTTAACTGACAATTAGTCATATGAATTTCGGATTCCTCCACCAGAAATTACCCAGAAACTATATATGCAAACCACGAGCTACAAATCTGAATCTAGCAGAGGAAGTGGATGAGAATTCGGTGAAATTGGATTGGTGAAATTTTTATTTGATGTAGGCTTGATCTTTATGATAGAATGGCCATAGTGTCTTTTATACCTTAGGATTAGATGATGGAATCCAATTTAAAATATTTAATAACTTCCACATCTAATACACTTGTAAGCTTTCACATACATACATATCTGTTCTGAACTCGAGGCCCTTTGTAGATAGGGAATCAAGAGTAGCTGGGGAAAGAAGCAGAACTCATTTGACCAAACTCGCTGAAAATTTTCAGGTTTTAGTAGTCTTCCTACTGTCCGGTCATTCCAGTACGACATTTCCGCTTGTTTTTAACTTTTCATACTCAAAATCTCCTCATCTAAAAAGTAAAAAGAACTTTAAGCATTCATCAGCCATTATGAACTTGAAATCTACAAAAAATTTTGCCACTTCTCTTTTTCCATTTTTTTTCAATTAATTCTCCACCAAGGCTCTATGGGAAGATGCATAATATTCTGATAAGCAATTTTTCTTTATCTACCAATCAAGCTTGGCTTGGTTCAAAACTTGAATTACCTCTATGTCGGACAGTTATTCAATGAATATTGTTTCCAGTTGTTGTGAATATCTTTTATGCAATACTAAATTTAGAATTTTTGAATATTGCCAATAGTTTTCTACTGTTTAAGTATGCCAGTTTGGAGCTTCATTCTGATACTTGATGCTATGGAAATGCATTTGCTTACTTTGTTGTACATAGCAGATACATCATGTCTAAACATGCAAATCTTGCCATTTCCATTGTACCTAAACCAAAGCATGCTGGATTGACATTTTGCTTGGAAGTTCAGATCCATACTCTAGCAAAGCATGTGTAGCTGCATATCCAAGTTGTGTGCAAAATGGCATTCTTTGGTTTTGGCCTAATGCTGATAGTCAGTACAAAGACATATTTTCGAAGGAAAAGCCTCCATACATTCCGGAAATTGATGATCCGTCCTTTACCAGTCGGATGATCACTAGAGATATACCATACGGGTAAGCAATTAGTTGCCCCCTTTATTATAGCTTTTGTGGTTGTTGTTGTTCCACGCTCATACTAGGCAAATCTTCATTTGCACTCTAATCATATTGAAAAGGCTGCTATCGCTATGGAATGCTAAAGTAAATTGCTTTTACTGTTACTTGTGTTAGTATTCAATACATGCTCTGGGAAATGCAAAGGAAAAAGAAAGAAATTCATTAGTTTCCTTCAAGAAGGGTGAGAAAAATGCGGGAAAAATCAATAAAGAGAAATAGGTAAAACTCAAAAGATGGTAAAACTAAAAGGTTTTGGTTCTTGTGTTCATGTTATGAAGTTTAATAAGAAAAACAGAAAAAGTGATTGAAAAGTTATGTCAAATAATGTTTGTTTTATTCTTAAGTTGCTTCTGATAGCCAAGCATTTACAGGTACGAGATTCTGATTGAAAATCTTATGGACCCTTCTCATGTTCCATATGCACATTATGGCATACTGAAAGTCCCACGGTCCTCAGAGAGATAAGAGCCTTTACCTTATAATTTGAGAATGTTTGCTGTTCCTAACCTTTTATATGGGTTCCAAATTACTAATAGTTTCTTTTCTGCATTTTCCTGCACTGTTGAGGCTGACAGGGAAGGAGGGAGACCACTCGAGATAAGGGTAAAGACATTAGACGTAAAGGGTTTCACTGCAAAATCATCGACAGTTTCAGATCACATATTTATTCCACCTTGTGTTTTTTATTCCTGGTCATTAGGAGGTACTCTAGAGAATGTAACTACTTCACTATCTGGAACCACAGAGGTAATTGATTGGTAATATTGAAGTTAGTCATTGTTTCTTAATTATTTCTTTTCTATAATATCGACCTATCATTGTCTAATTGTCCATTTATAGCACTCATATAAGGGATAACTATATGCAGAATCCATCGACACCTAAGCCGGTGAAGAAGGTACTTTTGGTGTTCCTATGTATTCTGGTTAGCCCGGGCAATAGCAGAATGATATTTACCTGGCCAAGGAATTCTGGCGTCTGGTTAGATCGTATTGTTCCGCGCTGGATATTCCATGTGAACCAAAATCTAATTATAGATTCAGATATGTATCTTCTCCATGTGGAGGTACTCCCTGGAACCTTTCCTCTTCTCTTTTCTACAACAGGGGTCCTTGTACGTGTCCAAGTCTTCAGTCATGGTAATTTGAGCATCAGAATGTCAAGGTTGCAACTCTATAATGAAATTTTCAATTCTCCAAAGAAAATCTAGAGCATAAGGGCCATTATGATGAAATGAGAACGTGCATGGTGGCAAATACATATGAGCTGTGTATTCTGGAGTACATGATTACTAGAATATTACGTTTTAGTCATATTGGAAGAGTTTGGAGGCTGCATAGCACTATCAGAAGCTTTTAGGACCAATGATCCTACTTTTGACATATTATGCTGAACAGTCTTAACAATTACGACGGGCAGTATTAACAACTAAAGGAACTCATTCTCTAGAAAATTACCTTTGTGTTCAATGTGAACTTTTAAATGCACACCAACTTAACCAGTTTAAGCACCATAAACAAAATATTAAATTATCATTTTGGTGTTACGTATTCAAAGAACTGTAATTAAGAGATGATAGCCACACACAAATTTTGATCAAACAACTGTAGTGTGATACTCCATAATATTCACTTGGTGTTTTGCAAGGCCAGAACTGCAGGACTTGAACGGTGACAATAAATTGGATGGCCACAAACATTATCCTTTGCATTGACACAAATAAAACATATCCAGAATTGAAAAGAAAAGGAAAATATGATAGAGTTCATAGCTAGGGTTTCTGTGCACAGGGACGGAGCCAGAAATTTATTTTTGGGGGGGCTGAAGTGTATTAAAAAATTTTTTTTGTGACGAAATAAATATATTTAATAAGTAAAATTTAGAATCAATAATTATAAAAATAATAAAAACATATAATTATACATACCCAAAAATTTGTTCTGAATTTTTGGGTATGTAACTTACCCAAATCTACAAATCTACAAAAGAAACAACGAAAACAGCAGGCCTATCAAGATATGTATAGTACTCGGAGGCATAAACCGCTCAAAAAAATAGTTTAAGAATTGCCCATCGCATACTAAAATAGTTTAAAAATTGCCCCTTTCATATGAATTTGATAAGTTCTTGGAAATCTCAAAATGCTCCAAAAAAATACTCTAAACTATCAATAATCTATCACTCACCCTGCTTATTGATTTCATGATCAGAATTCGAAATAAAATAAAAAACTAAGGCGGTCAAAAAGCGAAATAGCAGGAAAACTTTGATAGTAATTGCAAATTTAATTCTTCTTGAAGTGCAAGGGATGTCATAAGCGTTAAATCAAGAACTTTTCTAAATTCCAGGAAATACATTTACAGCATTCTTTGTTCCAGAACATACATTTAAAACAGCACCAACAACTATTGTTGGCAAGCTTCTTGATCAACAAAAGAAAGCCCACTCCACCATATAGTTCATGACAGCGATGCACAAAAAATACTTTGCCAACAACCAAACATCTGAAATAAAAAAAAAGGCTATGTTTCCCAGGCTCTATGTTTCCGAGTCTCACAGGCTCTAACAAAGTCCAGAATATATGATGAATAACTACAGAGTTCAGACCTGCTCAAAACATTTTAGGAAAATCCAAGTTATTACATCACCAGCAGGTGAAAACATAAATAACTATTGAAAATTTCAGACAATAATACCAGTATCCTAAGAGACACATAGGAAGAGAAAGGTAGTACCTACCTACCTACCTAGTTACCTACTGCATTTTAGAAGCAAGCATTTGGAATCCCCTATATATAGGGGGTTTTCCGGCGGCTTGGGGGGGGGGGGCTTAAGCCCCCACCAGCCCCCCCTTAAATCCGTGCCTGTCTGTGCAGACCATCCACCATTTAAGGTTTCCTTAGCTTGGGTATCATGTCCTCTATCATATTTCTATCTGGAAAGATGTCAAACTTTGTAAATCTTCGCGAAAAGTAGTAGCCTGATTTACTAATTATTTTGTTCATTCTATTCTTTCGGAGCGGAAAATAAAGGAATTTGGGTCATAAAGCTTGCTTTGTTCCTACAAAGGCAGATGCCCTTGTGGTGGGCTTCAGAAGGTGGTTAAACAAGTATAGCAATGGTCAAATTGACTGGGGAACAAAGTACACTGGAGCACTCCCACCCACTCCGCCTAGAGAGCAGCTTCTGGACAGGTACATCACTTCCAGTTTCAGGGAAATATTGGCCTTTTCTTCTTTTTATTTGTGTTGATAGAAACAGTAGAGATGATCACTCTTCTATACAGAAACTTCAAAATAAGTTTCTGTAACCCAACGTTCCATGTCGTGCTACATGCAAAATACAAGCTTACATAGGTAAAAAGCTCTAAGAAATTCTTAAATTTCAACTTTATTTCATTCCTAATCCAGTTTTTGATCTGTTCCTCCCGCGCACCAAAAAAAAAGAACCCCTGTACCGTGTCTCTGGAGGACCAAAGTTTGGCAGCTAGGATGGTTGTAAGACAGGAAGGAACTATATGTTGAAAGGAACTATGGAGCCAATCTTAAGACCAATTGGTCAGGAATCAAGAATGCCTTCGATTGCTTGGTTGAAAGACCAAGTGTTCTTCATTTCTTTATTTACTAGATAACATACATGTTCTTTATCAACCTGAGACATTGTTCTTATCTTCATGTTCTCTTCAGAATACGTGACGTACGATAGACTTAGAAAAGTTAACGCGACCAGGCATATTTTTCATGATTACATGTTGACCTATTCCTTCAGGTACTGGAGTCACACAGTCAGCTGCAGGAGTTGCAATCTAGCATATAAAGGGCTCAATGCACTAGAGATTGTGTTGCAAGTCTTCTCTCTTGCTTCAATTGGAATTGTTGCTGCTGCAAAACAGGGTGCACCATCCGCAGCAGCAGAAAGCACTCTGGTCTCAGTGGCTATTATCAGCTTTTTGGTTTCCAAGTGGTTATCCCACTTTGTTTACAAAAGCTTCCATTTTCATGATTATGATCACGCATCGCGCTGAGATACATGTGTCAGCTACTTAACCAGAGTTTTAGATGAAAGAGATGACAGGAAAAATATTTATCAGTGTCTTTGTACGTGTATCGCTTGGAAGCATTTAGATACATAATTCTAAGTACACACATTCGCGTAGAGTCTGGTGCAGACATTAATAAGAAAGACCAAAGGTTTTTATATCATCCTGTAATTTAATTTCTAAATTATATGGCTGTACGTTGTGCAGAATTTCCTCTACCAGAATCATGCAACAGAACAAGGAAAGGATGATGGTCCAAACATTATGAGAGTTATGCCATACATATTATGCATATAGTGGATGTATAGCACGGGTTGAGTTAAAATGGAATAGAACCGTAGTTGGAATATACAATTTCCATAATGGGAGTTATGCTATCCATCAATGTAATTTGAAAAAAAGAAAATTACAATAACTGACAAACTACTTGGAAAAAATTTCAAAACCATTCTCTTCATTCACTGTAATTTCTACCTATTGTTTTTTGGTCTAAATCAACCTCGGTGTATTTGTTGATATTAGTATCAGATAATCTTGTTTTCATTAGTATGACATTGGATAAGATAGGTACTTTAGAAATTTCTTGGAACATTACCATACATGCATGATTTTCTTCCAAACATAATAGGCTATAAAAGCTTGCAAACCATTTTTTTTTGTTCAAGTCTGTCATGGTTTAGCAGGTAATCTAGAACACAGGGCATAGATTAGAACTATGACTTGTCTTGATCTTTTACTCAAAAATCAACATCACCTGTGATTTTAACTATGTTCTTATTTCTCTAGCCCCAAATGTGGCGGTTCATAAGCCAGTTCTGGGACATTGCATGCCGTTCTAGTCACAGATACAAGGCATCTTGAACTTGCTTAGACAAAGGTTCTGTTTGATAAAGCTGAATCTGAATTCTGAAATCTAAATACTGAAATAATTAATTTACTGAATTTTAAGCACTGAAAAGAAATATATGAATGTTCGAATTTTAATGCTGAATCTATTTATACTGTTTGATAAACATTTATAACTGAATACTTAATAAGCTAAATTTAACAATTTTGCCCTTATATCTTTTCATCCAAAAAAGAAATAGAACCTATGATTTAATTAGTTTAAAATTTTAGGTATGAAAATGACAATATTTATTTTTAAATCAAATTAATATAAAAGATTAAATATATTATATGATGAGTATGGAGAATATGTAAAAATCATTAGAAAGGCAGAAAAGAGAAATAGAAAATCATTAGGTAGAGAATATTAAGTTGTTTAATTAGACCCCTTGAATTTTGTTAATTCTTAATAGTTTTTCATATTTTGTCATTCCTCTATTAATATAACTTGGAAAGCAGCATGAAAGGAAAATTTGGTACAAATTTCTCATCTCACTCCTTAAAAAAATTTTTAATGTTAACTTTTCTGCCATGGACTGAATTTGCAACACAAACCTTAAGTTCAAGGGTGGTAAGTGCTATTTTCTAAACTATAAGGGAGGTGAGTGCTAATATCAGAAATCTTAGGGGAGGTTTCTGCAATTGTCCCCAAAATTATATCATAAGAGGGCGCCCACAAAAATGTTTGTCTAGTTTTTGACACTAGTGCCTGACAGTTCTACACTTTTCCTAGTTACTTATGTTTGAATAGCAAATTTTTTTAAAAAAAATTTTTTGCTTGCATCATAAACATATTTCCTAATCCACCTATTTATATTTTCAATCGTTTTTTTATCTTATATATATCACATCACAAAAAGTGCTACGATAATTATTTTAAATAATTATTTAGCATAATACTCTATCCACACAAAGCCAATTGGCTAGGTATTTCATCTTTTTCTAATTGAAAGCTGGCTGGGGCCATTGGTTGTGAAAAATATCTCAATGGTTTGTTGGAGTTGTGATAGGTCCTCCTCCCCCACCCCGAACAACACAAACCAATGCCCCCATCCCCAGCACCCACCCAAAAAAAGGTCAACGATCAAAATGTAAAAGAGAAAAGGAAATAACAACCATAGCTGGTGACTTTGCAACATTAATTACCTCAGTCATTAGTCCTTGGGAAATAGACTAAAAACGAAAAAACTGAAAAAATAACTGCTGGTTCACTTATCAAAAACATGGAGTGGACTTAGGGGGTGCTTGGTTCATGCTCTGGAATTGGAATTGAATACGGAATGAATTATAAAAATCAGTATGCGTATAAGTTCCAGGTATCATTGAAATCACTACTGCTTGGCACAATTTTTAGTGGAATGGGTATCAAAATTATTATTGCATTTTGCCCTATTTTTTTTTTGTTGGGTTCAATCATACTGGCCTTTAGCATCAATCGCCAGCCATCGTCAGACCATCCCCAATCAAGACCTTTTTTTTTTTTTTTAATATTTTGTTCTTTTCTCTCCTACTTTCAGACATAACTCATATGATGAAGCAACGCCACCTTTTCTTTTTTCTTGTCAATTGATACAATCCAAATTCAGAACTTGTCAATGGCTTGCAAACAGATTTTTTGAACTTTGAGTGGAGTGACACCAGACTCAAGTTGACGTGGTTTCCTTCTCAAGTTGAAGCTGAATTCCTTTGAGATTGCGGCTGTAAATTCTGGTACTGATTCAAACTCAGAGGTGAGGTTGTGCAGGAACTTGTTGTGATGGATGAAATTTCGGAGGTCTAGCGTTTGGATTATGAGGGAGAGAAAGGAATGACACTAGTGAGGGGGAAGTTTTTGAGATGTTGAGTGATGGCAACAAGAAAAATTTTTAGATGCCATGGAGGAGGAACCAAGTGGTGGGAGGTGATGGGGAAGACTAGAAGGAGGATGACGGGATGAGGGTGAAGGGGTGAGTGGATAAAAGAAATGTTTTATAAAAATTATCTTGGAATCAAATATAGGAATTAATAAAACCCACCAAATCACTCAGGAATGGAGAGTTGTTAACTTTTTAGAATTCATTCCAAAATCTACAATCCCACATCTATTATCCAAGCATTTAAAATGGACATCATTTCAAATCTTGAATCCCATACCCTCAAACCAAGCACCCTTAGTAATCAGGTTTGGCATGTGGTGATAAGTGATTGAGTGCTTTTTTAGCATTTACGCTTGTGAAATTGCCAATATAGTCACTCGGAGTTCCACAAGTTTTCTAGCACTTAAAAACTTCAGACATTTTGTGTCAAAATGTCTTGTTTATATAAAATATACAAAATTTAAGTGGTGAAAGTTTGAGTAGTTTCTTTATTATTATTCCTTTTTTTTGAGAGTACAATATACAATCAACTGGAGTTAGAAGTGAAATCGACCTTTAGTTCACAATATAATTATAAACTTTGACTGAATTTGGATGTTTTAGGAAGGGGGAAATGGGCATGTTCTTGTAGATTTCAATTTTTACAATTGAATTATTTGCCTATGATATGATCACAAGTTTAACTTAAATGGAGTTGCGATAATAGAAGATTCTCGAAAGAAGACTTCGAAAGGTGGAAATTGAAAATGAGTGGAAATTGATGGGGAATTAACCGGTTATTTGGATACTTGAGTTCTACCTAGTTTTGTATCCGATTCTTTTATAATTAGTTTTTCTCGTCCTAACAAATTTATCTTTTTAGATAAATTTGAATTATTTATTCTTATGGTTCTTCTCTCTTCTAACAATACAATAAATTTGTATAATTTTTTTTATCCATATGGATTAACTTAGTGTTAAAAAACTTTAACTATTAACTGATAGATTTATCAATATTGCTGGAAATTGAATATTTGTTGATGCATAAATAAATTGCTAAATTTTTTGTACTTAATTGAGTAGGAATATGTAACTATGTTTATGGTTATTATAAAAATTGTTATCATCTAAAAAAATATCCATACACAAAATGGTAGAATATCTATTGATTTTTTGATATGTGTTATAATATTTGATGAATATTATTATATTATAATAAAAGTATCTAACGAAGTTTTTAAAAATTAGTATGACAGTTAAGTATAATTATTACATTAATTTTATAAAATTAATATGAATGAGCTTGTAAGATCATCATTAATTTTTTATTTAAATTATTCATGCTTGCACGAATTCATAATAAATTTTAAAAAAATAAACCATGCCAAGGCACAGGCAAACTAATGCTAGTTCAGATTAATGTTGTACATGTATAGAGTCACAAAATCGGTTTGGTGCACTAGCAAACAGAAGGGGACATCCAAAGTATTAGGACAAGTTTGACATTAATTTAAAGTGGGAGATTTGTAGAGCAATTGAGCGTAAACAAATCAGGTTGAGGAAAAATTTATATCAATTGCAATACAATCATAAAGCCTTTGACACATTCGTTAAAATAAGAAATATTTATTAATTTGAGGCAGTCTAATAGCAAACCAAGGGAAAAAAAATATGAATGATCCGTAAGGAGGAAAAATGTTATTTTACTTTAAATAAAAGTATGATTGGATAGGGGTTTAGTTGAACAAAAAAAATTAGACTAATATCGTAATTTGGTGCAGTCTAATAGCAAACCAAGGAAAAAAAAAATACTGAGTACGTGGGTTTAGTGAAGCCAAGAAATAATGTGAGCGGACCAGCTAATACAATCAATGTGCGCGGACCACATGGTACCGCCCTGTCATTTCTCTCCCGTCTTTCAACACCGCGCATGCTAAAAGCGTACTGCATGACCCTACCGCTAATACAAACAATGTGCGCGGACCAGCCAATTACCTTCTTCCTTCTTCATAAACGCAAAGAACATCTTCCTCACTTATCTCAGGTACGTTCTTACCAAAGAACAAGCATTAGATACAATTAGGAACATCCAATTCCCTATTTCTCCCATTTACATATGAGTTACTCAAAAAACCTATCAAGATGGATTTCCTCATCTACATTATCTACATACGAGAAAGTGATTGGCTGGTCCGCGCACATTGTTTGTATTAGCGATACGGTCGTGCAGTATACTTTTAGCATGTGCGGTGTTGAAAGAAAGGGAGAGAAAGACAGGGAGGTATCATGTGAGCGGCTACTAGATTGGACCGACTTTTCTTTTTTCTGGGTAGGGGAGTAATTACACAGACTATTTAAGCTAATATATGTTCTAAAAGAATTTTAACAAGCACAAGAAAATTTTCTTAAAATGCCCAATTATTTTAGTGGAATTTTTTGCACGAAAATATTTGTCTGACAATAAAATTTACACTGACAAACAAACATTCTTGT